AAAAGTTCCAATTTTGGTCCAAGATTTCATCTTTTAGCAGTTGCAGTAGACCCAAAAGGGCTCCCTCAAAATAGTCCCCAAAGACTTCTCAAAGAATTAGCTGAGCGTAAAAAAGTAGTATCCCCCAAGAGAAAAGTACCCCCCAAAAGATTCATACTAAAACCCCCTTTAGATGATGCTAAGTTAGCTGAAAGATTTCTCAATAGCCCACAATTGTCTTTAAAGTCATTTCCACTTTTGAGTTCTTGTTTACCATGTTCAAGACTTAATAATGCTGATAAAACTTGGATTGATGAGTATTTGATTGAAGCTAAACAGTGTTTAGGGTACCCTTTAGAGAGTTCTGAAAGTTATGGGGATGATAATCCAGCTAAACAATTTGATACTTTGTTGTATTTAGCATTTCAACATCCTAAGTGTGAGAGGACTAATGCTAGGCATGTAAGGTCAGGACATTCAAGATTGGGTTTTTTAGGGGAATATGTTCTTGAATTGGCGATGTGCGAGTTTTTCTTGCAGAGGTATCCTAGGGAGTCTCCTGGTCCAATGAGGGAAAGGGTGTATGCGTTGATTGGGAAAAGGTATATGCCTAGGTGGATTAAAAATGCAAGCTTGCAGAATTTGATTTTCCCATATGATGATATGGATAAGTTGAAAAGATTGGATAGGGAACCGCCGGTCAAGTAAGTTGATATCTTGGTTCTTTGATTGGCATTTGATTGTTGCTATTTTAAATTCAGTTGGATACATAGCGTAGAAAATCTCTGAACTCTATTAGTTTTAATTCATCATTTCATGTACTTGCACATTTTTTAGGTGGAACTGTGTAATTGTATTCATTTGGTTTTGTTTCGTCATGTCATACTCTTGAGCTATTTATTAGTAATCCTTGTGTATGCATTACACTTCAGCAACACTATATTCCCCCACTTCTGAGCAGTCAACAGTAGATACTGGTTTCTTACTTCTTTCCTTGATAATCTTGCTAATGTAGCGTTTCTTAGTTGAAGAAAGAAAATAATGATCGACCTCTAAACACCATTGTCTATGGTTTTACTTCCTAAAGTATGAGGTTTATTACACAATCCAAGTAGGCTTAGGTGCAGGATATGGCAATGACTAAAACATTGTTTTATGATAATAGTACATGGAGTGGAAGTATCACAATAATTCTGCAGAACACAAAAGAATGTGATGTTGTTAGGAAGAGAAGAACTTTCATCAAGACTGTGTACCTAGTGGGTCAACTTAGTCTTGAAAAAGTTGTTTTCATATAGTCTTGATCTGATTAGTGATAAAAGTAGATGTATCAACCTTTTAATCCATGTCCCTATAAGAGGTTAGGATGCATTAAGCTATTTATGTATTAAGAGGTCATTCTGGTTCACGAGTTTCAACAGCTGCCGTCCCATTTTTGAAGACATCATAATGAACAAACAAGAATTCCTCTTGAAGAAGATTTCTTCCATTGCCAAATTATGTTATACTTTGAAATTTAAACTGTTATGTAACTAGTCCACAAGTAGGGGCACTGCACGAGTACAATGCAGAAATTATAGAATTTTGGACCACATATTCTAAATTTTTTGTTTGAAACAAAAATCCTTGCAACACAATATGTTTGAACGTGATTTGTCCAGCCTATTCTAGTGGGATGAACTGTAATTGTAGAATGTTTACTGTGGTGCTGGATTAGGAGTCTACTTTATATTGTTAGTGGTATTTTGATATTTTTCTTATTTCACATTATTATCAAATAGTATTACATATTTTTCACTAACTTGCAAGATCTGACGATTAGTTGTTTAAAAGATTTTTACTTCTTTGTTTATTAATGTCAAAGAATGCATTTTAAGATACAACGGCTCATCAACCTTACATGGATATTTTTGTGTATCAATACTTCACTTTGAAACTTCCCACTTATATAATGGTAATGGATATATTTCAAAGAAGAATTCTCATTTGTTAGAACCTGTGTTATGATGCTCTTCAGTGTCCTGATCTTTTTTATCCGCATGGTTTTTGTTTTTCGGTGATGCTAATTAGTTATCTATCTACTTTCACTTTCTCATACTGGCTTGGATTCCATGATTGTCTTGGCAGATCTGTGTTCTGGGCTTTGTTTGGAGCAATATACTTGTGTTTTGGAATGCCTGAAGTTTATCGGGTCCTATTTGAAGTGTTTGGAATGGATCCTGAGGCTGAAGACTGCCAGCCCAAATTGAGAAGACAGTTGGAAGATGTAGACTATGTCTCAGTAGAATTTGAAGGCAGAAAGCTTAGCTGGCAAGATGTTGCTACTTACAAGGCAAGATCTGAATCTTTTATCTCATGTAAATGTATAATTTACTCACTCGATCTTAAAGAGTCATCTTTTTTGGATTAAAGCCTAATAACTTAAAACACTGCAATAAGCAACAATTTTAGCCTCCTTTTGAAGAAAAACAAGGCAAAGAGTAGGTAGAAAGAATGTAACTTCAGTTCGCAACTTTCAAAACTCTCTTGATGCCTTTTTTAACTCTTCAAATTTACCTTATTAAAAAGTAGGGAGAAGGAATAAGTCCCTTTACTGGTATTGGGCGCATTGTAAATGTTGAGAATCATATGCCAAAAGCTAGTGTACCTGGTACATACGTGAATCTCTTGATATATTTTTGATATGTTTTCTACTCTCTTGGTATACTTCTTGTATATCGGTGCTTGTACATCCTGCATATTAATGTATTTTTATTCACCTTAATATGAACTCAAATATATCAGTGCAAACAATTGCAACTTGAAGAAAGGAAATGACCATCTGAATTCAAATGCTTATTCATTTCTGTGTTTATGATTGACAGCCTCCAGAGGATGCTCTTTTTGCGCACCCAAGGGTTTTTAGGGCGTGTGTTCCACCAGGCATGCATAGGTTCCGTGGTAATGTATGGGATTATACGAGCAGACCTCAAGTTATGCAGACACTGGGTTACCCATTGGCTATGAATGATAGAATTCCTGAGATTACTGAAGCCAGAAACATTGAACTTGGACTTGGTTTACAGGTATTACTCTTCAGGTTGTGTTCAAACGTACACAACAACCTCTGGGGAATATGTAAAAATAACTACTTTTTGTTAGTTCGAGTCACCAAGGGAGCAAATTACCATATCAAAAAATAATTGCTTGTATGGTTTTGAAATTCTAAACTTAGTAAAACGTTTAACAAATGAGGAGTTATAGTACGAGTACAAACTGCATATGCCTTTGCAGTGTAAGTTCCTTTTTAGCCTTTTGTAATTATTAATGCCATGCAACATTAACCATCTTGCGGAAGTCGATTATCAAATCCAATTTTGTTGTTCACCCAGCTTTATGTTATTGTTCCCCTCCTTTTAGAAAGAACTTAAATTCTTTTACTCCATTTTGATTTACATCTCGTTGTCTATGGTGTTTGTTTGTATATCAGTATCATGATGTCTCTTTCCATATGTCTATCAATGAGTATTGCAAAAACTAACCTATACTGTGCATTTTTGTGCTATATAAACTGCAGCTCGCTTTCTTGCACCCGTCAAAATACAAATTTGAGCATCCAAGGTTTTGCTTTGAGCGGCTCGAGTATCTTGGCCAAAAAATCCAGGTATGTGTAATAATAATGTTTCAGTCAGATTTATTTGGTTCCGTTGCCTTTTTTGTTCCATTTTCTAGTTTGTGTTTGGTACACAATCTCAATACAGGAACATGAAGCCACTTTTCTGTTAATCGACAGGAAAAAGTACCACTTCACTCTAGTTAAAGGACCATTAATCTTGAACCAGCTCAGTTTGCTAAGCATCAAGTTTGATTGTAGAAAACGTTGATAGTTTCCATCTCATGATGCAGGATTTGGTAATGGCGGAAAGGTTACTTATGAAGCATCTCGATGCTCCTGGGAGATGGCTGCAGGAGAGACACCGCCGTGTTGTGATGAACAAATTCTGTGGAAGATATTTGCGAGAAAAGAATCTTCATCGCTTTATCATATACAGTGAGGAGGTTCAGGATGCATTCGAGCACAATCGTAGGCTCAGGAATCCGGCTACAACTTCCGTTCAACAAGCTATCCATGGACTCTCTTACGCTATATATGGAAAGCCAGATGTAAGACGCCTCATGTTTGAGGTTTTCGACTTTGAGCAAATCCAACCTAAGGCGGTATGAGTACTAACAAAGAAATGTTGTATTTTCTGTCTAGCCCAATTTTTTGGCCATGTTGTATTATCGGTTTAATCTAAACCTATGCTATCTGGTCATGATCGTTTAGCCGTTCTTTCTAAGATATGGAAATGTAAATAGAAAACATCCCTCGGAAAAGACTCACGACCTGGTAGTCTGCATAACAATATTGACAGGGGAATAGCTTTGCAATTATAATTAGAACAACATATTGCTGCGTTTTTGCTTACTAAGGTTGGACCCTACTTGGGCAAGGAGACATGCGAATTCAGAATCTAGAGTCGGGAATTAGAATAGTGATTTTTTTTTTCCCTATTGTGTTTACAGTTCATTTTATTTTTTGAACCGCGTTGTAATGCTTTTACTTAAGCTGAGGATCTATTGGAAACAGTCTTTCTATCGTTTATCGTTTAAGGTAGGGTTTGTGTACGTGCTACCCTTTCTAGATCTTATGGGATTACACCGCTTATGTTGTTGATGTGGCATGTTAGTTTTTCGATTTAGTGCAGAGGTGCCATGAAATGATGCAACTTACTACAAACTTCTAAATCCAAATGTTTTATCCTTTTATTTGAGTTAATAATAATTGATGGATTTTAGTACGATAGCAATAATATATTCAGTGAAAAAGTAACAATGGAAGCTTGGCTTATCAATGGCCAATCCTTTTTTTGAACCTTGTCAAAGATTGAACTTATATTCTTGAGGCTTCTCAAGTCTTTAAATTTGAGCCATGAAAATGGAAAACATTATGATAAAAAAGATATATCTTTAAATAAATCATACATGAAACAAACTCGTAATTAATCAGTCTCAAAAGCGGATATCAAACTTCGAACAGAAAATAAAAAAATACACAACATTCATGTGATGGTCTTACAACATTCTAGTTCTAGTAAACAGAACTATAGGTAGGGCAAAATGCCTATAGACATAAACAAAAAACAATAAATATTATGAAAAATGTGAGTTTGTATTCAAGAAAATATTAATCTAAAATCATTAGATTCTCAGAATCATTTGAAGTGCATTCAATCTGTGGATTTTTTTTCTTCTGACTTGTAGCAACTGATAGTCTGCACAAATGAAAAAAAAAATTTAACTATAAGTAATTATATATAAATCATACGATGTTAGTATATCTTGTGAGGTATATATATATATATGTATATATTTTTTTTAGTCAACAGAGAGTCTTGGAGCAATAATAAAGTTATTTTCACGTGGGGTTCGAGTAGTGAAACAATCACTAATGTTTGCAGTTAGGATAGACTGTCTATATCACACCCCTTGAAGTACGACTTTTTCGTAATAAGAAAGGAAAAAACAGAAAGAAAAAGTTGAGTTTACATTACCCTAAGCTCAAAGAAGTGTCTGAATTTTCTTCTTCAACTGATTTAAAATCACAAATTACTGTTGTATTTCCACCAGAAATTTTCCTTGCTGCTTCATAATTTTCAGGATAATGATTACATGATTTGTGGCCAAGCTCCTCAATCTTACATTAAAAATAATAATTAAAAAAAATCAAAATAGTAGACCATAATCAATATTCGAAAAAATTAAAAACAATTAAAATAAAAAAGTATTTGTTTAAGTTCCCAATTTTGAATTCATACAATTGATATATATATAATTTATAATTTAACATGTATTTTCTCTTCCATCCATCAAGATTTGAACATATATAAAAAAATCATCTCGTATTTTTGCCTTCGTACTGATGAAACATAATTTAATATAACACATTGTCTCCCTTTTTTTTTTTGCTAAAATATTCCTCCATCTAATTTAATTTCAAAAGATTAATATATGTAATTACTATAATTAAAGTGTACCTGCAGATTTGATTTTTCAAGTAGCTCCAATAGTACTTGTTCCTGAAAAATTATAGACATATTTTCAAAAGATGATTTAATTAGCAATAATTAATATTGATTAATTACCTTCTTATTCTTAACAGATAAAATGCCTTCAGTTAGTTGATGCTCTAATTGCTGCAACTCTTTGAAGTCCAGGCCATCAAGTTCTTTCCCCATCATCCTTCTTTAAAAATATGTAAAATATTCGATCGATTTAATTTATATATATTGACAATTGATGTATTAAATGGATATATCAGCTAAATTTAGACGTTTTAAAATAAACAGAGTTAATATTAATTTCCTCATACATTATTTAAGTCGAGATGATGGATCAAGATGGGTAAACGAATCGAATCATGTCAAAATCCGTCCAACTCTAACCTTTTTTTTTTGGGTTAATTTTCTTATAACTTTTTTTAATTATCAAAAAAAGCAAGAAGACTATTTTTTATTTATTTATTACTGTTATATATAACATATCAAATAATATAAAATTTAAAAATATTTTTAAAAAGTTATCATAGGTCATTCAAGGCTACATATTTAGCTCAAATCAATCGAGCTTTTCAAGAGTCAAATTAATATAGTAGTGTTTAAATTTCGAGAGTCAAAATTGTTAATTATGAATTTAACATATTTGAAAACTATATAAAAAGTACTATAATACATAACAATTGATAATTTGAAAGACATGAAAACCCGAGATTAAAGAAAAAATTATTTTATTTTCAAAATTTAAAAGATATCACGTAAATTAAAACAAAGAAAGTAACGATCTTGAAAGAGCTTACCCGGTAGCCTTTCGTAATTTTGCAACTTCAGCTTTCAAGGAATTCAATTCAGGCTGAAATTAATGAAAGGAAATATTAAGCAAATTATTGACTAATTACTTCAATATTAATTAATTAATTAATTAAGTTATAATTTAATACCTCTACCACATTTTCGATCATAGGATGCTCAAATGAATGTGAAGAACTGTTATATCTCTCCACAATTTTTTCCATACTGCACAAACACATATTAACATAAAGGAACAATAGTCAAATTAAAGGACAAATTATTACTTATTAACCAAAAAATGAAAATGTATATATAATATATCTAATAAGTTCCCAAAAAATGGATTAATCACAATCACCTTACCTAACTCTCAAGATGTTACCCAAAAAAAAAATTAATTCCTTTAATAATTCAAATAAATAACAAAACAAATCTCAAATTAAACAACAAATAAAATGAAAAGTAAAAAAAAAATCAGCACTCCAAATGTGTACTTTTTTTTTTTATATAGGAATAGGTGCTCGTAGATCGAACACTTTTTATATTTTCATTCGATATTAAAAAGTATTAAGTGAAAATTAACTCGATTGTTCTACATCTTTCACCAATATATAGAAGCTATTTATCATTAGTAAATTTATTTTTAATATCGTTTAGGCTCTCCAATCAAGTCAATCCCTTTTACTAATGAATAGTAATTGATTATCGACCGATAAAATTCATCCTTGCCAAAAAACCAATAAGGAAAGAGATGTACGCAGATTTTATCTTATGCAGATATAAAGTTGAATTCTGATAAACTCTCGACTCAAATAAGACATTTCAAAGCAAGTAAGAGAAAGACGTATAGTACCAAAGAAACTATAATAAATAAAAAGAAACAGTAACACAACAACAAATAATATGATAATCGAAACGTATACCTGGATTTGGAGCTAGCAAATTTATAAAGCCTATCAGTATTAGAGAAAACAATAACACCAATTTCAGCATCACAAAGAACAGACAATTCTTCAGCTTTCTTAAAAAGTCCAGCTCTTCGTTTTGAAAATGTTACTTGTCTACTACTTATATTTTCAATTTTCTTCATCTCTATTTTCCCTCTTCCCATTTTTATTTTTTAATTACAAAGTTTCAAAAAACCCTAAGAAAAATAAAATAAAATAAGAGAGGAAGAACAAGATTAAGAAGAGTTTTGGTTTAATTTTTTTTTAAAAAATAAAAATACAATGGATGTTATATAATTGTCAATGTGAACTGATTCATCATGTATTATATAGAAATAATGTTATGGTTAAGTTGAATTTTTTTGGTAAATGGTAATTAATTAATAGTATTACCTTACTTGGAAGGGAAAATATTGGAAGGAAATATTGAATTTTCTAAATGTGGTAAGGTACATTAAATATGGTTTTGCCGTCTTGCACTTCTGGTTTTCCCATTTATGGATTCTTTCTCTTTTCTATAAAAAGAATGTTTAGATTATTTCACCTTTCGATATTAGTTGTTCATTTTTCTATAAATAATTATACGATTTCCAAGAAAGATATAAAGGGGTGAAAAGTATTTTGGAAACACTCATTTTACCTTCACGAGGTAGCAGTAAAGTCTGCGTATATTTTATCCTTACCAAACATTATTTGTGGATTTCACTGGTTATTTTATTGTTGTTGTAACATGGGCGAAGCCAGCTTGGGCCTATATTTTATTTTTAAAAAAATTCAATGTATATATATTACCCCTCCATTTTATTTTATTTGAAATTTTTCGGATTTCGAAATTTAATCAAGTCTATCTTTGACCGTCAATTTTTCATAAATCATTTAAACAATTTGAATTATTGATTATTGTGACTTTTTATGTAGTTTACAAATATAGAAATTTAATTTCAAAAAAATTGAAGATTTTATGCCCAAATTCCCAATCGAACTTAAACTGTTTAACTCTAGAAAAACGAAAAGTACCTCATAAATTGGGATAGAGGGGAGTATATGTTAAACCAACTTCAACTAGTTCACGTGTATACTGATTCATATTCTGAACCTTATACTAAAAATCATGACTTCACCATTAATGTGTAAAGAAGAAAGTGGACAACTAATATGAGACAAAGATAATACCATACAGATTTAGTATCCTCATTCTTGCCAAACTTTTCATTTTCAAAGAGTAAAGGGATCTTTACACAAATAGCCAGTCAGATTCACCGTTTACTTTTGTTAAAACTAGTACACATAAATTATTCTTTGATTATATACATATTGTACGTGAAGCATACACATATTATATATCTTTGATTATATACATATGGTACGTGAAGCATATACATATTATATATCTGTCGACTATTTTTAGTTTAAGTGGTTGAGTTGGCGATTATTTAGGTTAATTCTTCTTTCCTCTTTTAGTGAGAAAGCCTGTTACTTTGGTTGCTTAACCTGTTTGGTAAGTGGTGACTATGGAAAGTGGGAAGTGGAAAGTAAAGGAAAATTTTGCAATTTCTTTCTTGTTTTGTTAAAGTAAAGAGAAAAGGAAAGAGATGAAAATCAAGGAAAGTTTAAAAATGCAAGGAAATTATCTTCTTTTTATGACCAATTCTTTGCTTGCACAAAACAAACCAACGTATTGGAACAATCCACAAAACTTAGCTAGTGTTAGATTATAACTTTTAAAAGTTTTATAGTCAAACATTTGTTTGACCATGATATTTGGTCAGATTTTGAAATTCTGATTTCAAATATTTTCAAAATCAAAAAATTAGGACAAGCCTATTTTTGGGGCTTCCCCACACACAACTTCAAAAAAGAAAAAAAAAATTACAAACAGAATGCACGACCAAAAACACAACTTGTAAAACTCGACATTTACAAGTTTCAAGTGCTAAATAGACCGGAGCTTAATATACATAAATATAAAGTTACAACAGAAGGATTAAAAGTAAGTAAAAGGCCAAATTTGGCTGTAGAACAGGCTCCAATGGCTTTGTTGAAATAAACTATAGTGCTATCATAAAATGTCAATGGCAACATGATCTGTAGCAACTACAGATGTAAATTATAATGCTTCCAGCACCTATTATGTCGATGGTGATGCAGGGGTGAATGACATAATCAGGTAGACAGTGCTATACACATGCAAACAGCAGCGTAGAGAGCTGCGTTCTTCAGACACGGGTCCATATTGGCTTAAATCTCCACGTGCAATTTCTGCAGCAGAAAAAGTTCCAGAAAAAGTAATCCCAGGAAAGTTATCCACGAAGGGTGAGCAATCAAGGATAGGTTGAAGAAAAAACTCGCCACGACCACAGCAAGAGAACATAAGACAACCAAAAACTGACTTCTTATAGGTAGAACAACCAGCATTTTGGTGGTCGAGATCTCGCTTCAGACGTGTTATGTTGTTTGATGCATTGTTGCAAGAATCACGTGTAGCATTAGCATTCGCAAGGTAGAATTGGAAGGAGTCTCCACTTCTGATTCCAACACCGTTAACATACAGATACTCCTCATCCCCTCTGCAAGATTTTATGTTAAATTACAAAATGAAAGGAAAACAAAGCATAAATAGGTCTTCAACATTGTTTAATTTCAACTAATGTTGACAGGCTTATCCACAGGTATAAAGAAGTAAAACCAAAGTATAGGAGGGCTTCATGCTTCTATTCACGGCCAGCATGCTCTACACATTATCCACCTCCCAAACAAATAACGCGATGAAAATTAAGACTAGAACTGAACACAAGGCTGAAATGATTTAATTTTACGATATACTTGATAAAAGAAAAATATTATTTCCAGTAAAACCACAAGAAGTTTGAACTTTCAAAAATAAATAATGCTTGAGCATTGAAAAGTTTAGACGACCTTCTCCATGTATGTAATCTATGAGATTTCAATATCATGAGTTGCACATTGAAAGAAGGATCAAGCTTTAGCACTATAACTTACCTTAAAACCTCATGGAATTCCTGCAAATATATCCAACTTGCTTTTTCCTTCCCAATTGAGCACTTTCTTCTTTTAGAAACTCCAATATAGAGAGCAGAACAATAAAGATCACCTCCATACTGGTGGAAGTGAAATCAGAAAGAAAAGTGAGAATTATCTTCATTGTTCCGATATGCACTGACTAAAGCTACTTAACTAAACAATTTTGAAAAAAACAATCTTCAATTCAACTTCAACTACTCCTTTTCAAACTTCAACCGAATCATGTTTAAGCAAACAAGACAACTATCTCCAACTAGGTAGTACCTTCACAAAATACTAGGCTTCACACATAATAATCTTTCTAAACCATTTAGGAATGTCCTACAATCAGAAATATAATTAGATTATCATTGCTTCACTTAGAATATACCTTTTCCATGTGACAAAGAGTCAAAAGATATTGCCATCTTCGATTTGTACAAACTGGCAGAGTGGAATGGTCTGGGATTTTGTGGGTGGGGGTATTTGAGGGTGGGAAGGGGCTAACACTTTCCCCTGAGGAATATGAATTTAACACGTGGAAAATTTTGGTGTGTCTAAGACCAATATGTAAACGTGCATCTTGCTAAACCCACCAGCCCTCTTTTCTCATGCTCTTTAGCCTGATGCCAGTGCCTCTATGTGTGTGTTGGGGGGTCAAATAAAGAGATGGAGTTATAAGATTCCGTAACCCAGCACTATCTCAATTTCAAGACTTGGTTAGTTAGCTGTGATGGAAGTATCAAAGGGAAACGGAAGACAACATATTACAATGAGACGGTGTTCAAATACACTACTCTTTCCTTTCCTCTCCTTTCATGGGAAAAACCAACTGTGGATTACTTCTTTCTAATCCTAGCTACTTAAATAGTTGGATCTAAATAACTGACTACAATCTACATTACAAGTTGTTCCCTCTGTTGCGCCGTACTGCTTACTTTGAAACCTATTCGGATGGCGCAAGATACGATACGCTTTGCTTTCTTGTTGCATGAAAATGCTTGAGCGACCGTCGGGAAAGGTCTTTAGCGGGGAAGGCAGCCGAATCGTCCATCTTATCTTAGAAATTGCCTTATTAAGGTCCCATCCTCTTAACCCTTACATTGCATTCTAGCGAGTTCTAACTTTTATTTTATCTTACCTCATCATAGATCTGATCGAACATAGTCAGACCATCAAGACTTTCAACTTGTGCTTCTCTTTTCGCCGTGAGCCAAGTAGAAAAGTCTCTAGGTCTCTCCCTGACCGCGACAGCCTTGTAGGTAGGCCCAATTTGGGCCATGCCAGGGGCTAGCACTACATGAAATTGAGTTTCCCCTACACCTGCTTCCAAGTCCAAAGAAATGGCAGCAATAATAAACATCCCAGAAATTTGACAGAGTAATCAGAAAGCAAGGCAATGATAAAATAGAAAAAAAAGTCCACAGACTGTCAATTACAGCTATGGATATATTTGATTTCTGGTTAAGAAATAATCTCTGAGCACTTGATTCTTCCAGAAGGTTAAGAAAATAATCTTTGAGCAGGAGGAGAAAGATCTCATTCCCGGCCATTGAGACTTTTTTGATAATATTCGTTGTACTTTTAAGTCGAAGAAGATGTGATAAGAGTAGCTAACTAAAATAACTTGCTAGTTGACAATACCTTCTTGTTCTGTTAGTTATGAGTTATGACTTAACTTGAGATGCTCTCTTGTTTTTTGTTAAATAGTGAATTTTTACTTGGTGTACTTAATACTGATTTAATCATGTGATTCACTAATTATGAATAGCTAAATCATGGATTAATATCTTTGTTTATGTCTTAAATTTTAAAAATTCTAGTTTCCACTTTCACTTTGTTTAAGTGATCTTATTTCAAGTTACATTCTTTATCTTTATTGTCTTTGTTCTGAGGTTAGTTATTTTCTTTCAATTTATTTTTGATTCTTTTAGTTATATTTATTCTATTGTAATATGTTTTTAATCTTTAGTTTATATTTTGTTGTCTTCACAGGAGGAATGGAAGAGTAATCCCATCTTGAAGAATGAAAGATTGAATTTACATTATACATGCAACTTTATCACAAAATATATCTCAAACTTAGAATATCTTTATAACACTATTTTTGTAATGTTGAATTTAATTTAGTCAAATTCCCGCACACATATCCATACTCGGAATGTCCCCTAAAATCTTAAAATTTGGATTTATCCGACTCTCACATCCACACCCGAATCAGAGCAACATAGTTCTAGGTCATACCCATTCAGTGTAGCTGGGAAATTGTCTTTTATCCCTTTCTTGTCCTTTAATACTTATTAGCACGTCATATTTAACGCACATGTACAAGGATAAGTGAGATGATGTCTGCTTTCTACTCTTTTGTTCATTATTAGTTAAGGAATTAATCTGATTTGAAAAGTTGAGTCAAATTTATTGCTTTCTTTGTAATTCAATGGGTAATTTGATGTTTTATCAAAAGAAAAAATTCAATGGAATTGGGAACTTCAAAGATGTTAGGCACCAAGACAAGTTAGATGTCAAGTCCTTCAAAGTTTTTAAGAGGAAAAACATGTGTATATATATCTTGAAAGACTTATAACTAACTGTGCACCCATAGAGAGATCAGAAGTGCACCTTGGGCTGTTGGTGTAAGCCAAAGCACCCACCCGCACGACTAGGGATTGGTTCTGGCTAGAACCCCAATTCATTGTTTTTTAATAATCTTTTTATTTAAAGAGCTTATTTATAACATAAAGTAAAATTGCTAGATCAGGGATTCGAACTCATGACCATCCAATACTCTTATTATAACAAAGTGAAGTTCAAGTATAAGACATATTTATATTTAATATCTTCCGTATTGTTCAATCCATTAGTGACCAAACGAATACAAAATTATCGTTAATTGTCATTGAAAGTTCTGCTAACGCCTAAATTAAGATAATATTGATGCTCTCGCGGTCCTCAAATCTTAGGTTCGCCTTTGCCTGCATCACAACTCAACAGACCACAACAGCATTAGTCAATCCTATTCCACTTGGAAGCCTACTCATTTCTTTTTGTAGTATTGTTTACTTCGGTATACACCTTCTAGAGTGTACACAGGTTTTCTCATCACTTCAATAAACTATTATCTTCTTTAATTTTTTTTTATTGTTAAGGTAAAATTATAAGTTCATTAATTAAAGAAACTAATCTATTTGGAAACAAAAGCAGTTTACAATTTAAAGCTCAATTGCAAAGTTTCAGCTGAGAAGCAACGCATACCAGGAGGATTGCCAGTATCCCTGAGAAAGGAAAGAGCAACAGCAGCGGAACTGTATTCTGCGTCATTAGAATGGTCTACTGCAGCTTCCCCTTGATATAAGAACTGTGAACCTCCTTCACCCACAATTACAGTCTCTTGGCAGAAGGCATAATCTACAAAAGGTAAAGAATGCACGAAATATAACTTGAGTTTTCGTAATGTTTATCACAGAAGCGAATAGAGAAGACTGCCTCCTTTTTGTCTTAAAACGTTGGCGATTTATGATAACAGTAAATTTAAGATTATAAAGTTTATCATGAAAGGAAAGCAAGAAAGCTTGTTGATTAGAAAGTAAAAGCTTACCCAACTTTTGAAGAACCGGTTTCATGTCAGTTTCGTGATCCTACCACCAACATGTAAATGACTTTTATGAGATTTAAAATGAACCCAAAAGAACAGCTAAATTACAAATAGAGAGCAGAAAGCAGCGAATTCCAAAAGTGTTCCCAACTTTTAATGGAATCCAGTGTGAACTGATTAGCGTGCGTGTTGTACACGTCCTGATTCCATTGGCATTAGGCTACATTTATTGCTATATCCACAATGTGTCATTGCTTTGACGTGTAAAGATAAAAGCTTCTTTCTTTTAGATAGAAAGATAAAAATAAAGATAATGAGACAACCGATTACCGAAAATAACAGAATAGCCACCGGCGATGCGGAACCAGAAACAGAGGACGAGCATTCCCTGATATTTCGCACAAGTTCATCAATCATAAGTGCTTGAGTTCCCTGACATTTGTGCTCACCGAATTAATTTAACCCATTACAAATCAAGTTAGCACAATTTCCATTTAGATCGGAACTAGTAGTTTGTTTCATATCCCAAGTAGGAAGTTCATAAAACTGAATTCCATAATTTGAAATCAACTCCACAGTAAAAGTTAAGCATCCTCTCAATATCACAGATTTATTTCTAAAATATGTTAGGGTAATATTAAAGGAAAATGTTACCCGAGTTTTCGATAACAAAGGGATCAAACTGACTTTCAATCCTGGCAAGAAACCAACGGTAAGTAAAACTCCATGGTTCTCATTCACATGATCAGGATGATCCTCGTCATTCTCAATAAATTGCCATTGAACCTGGAGAATATCTTCAATTCTCATAACAAAAGCATACAAATTTGACCCCAAAAATTATTTTTGTCTTAGCCTCTAAACTGACCTCTTTAAATTCATCATCAACAGCATTGCAACCGAAAATTCCTTGAGATATCAGAGTAACAATTGGAATTCTGGACCCTAATTTTCCAGTTATCTGCAAAATAAGAACATCCATTATCATACAACTTCATATAGAGCTTATTTCTAATGTAATCAAGAATATAACTTTTGCGTTTGAAAATGCAAATAGATTTAAAAGGAACTATACATATGATCTTTAATCAATTTAAAAGATAGAAGAGCACATACGAGCTGGTGAGCTTGTTGCAAGCTAAAAGAAGGACCAACGGAAGCAATGGCGAACTGAGGTCGAATAGGTTTCGACAAAACCTTGTCAACAGCCTCATTTACAGCATCCTACATCAGAATTGAATTTGTAAGTCATTCACTCTAGAGAAATTCAAGCAAATGTAACAATTCTTCGTAAGCATAGGCGAATTCAGGATTTAAACTAAACAGTTTCAAATTTAAAGGTGAACTTGGTACATTTCAAAAGTTATGAATTTAGACCTAATTGTTGCAATTTTACTGAATTCTTATGCATAAATTTATATTCGGTGTAGAAAAAACAGAATTCAGATGAACTCGATTATAAGTTCAGACTAGAACCTGGAGAGAAGGATTGATAGATAGAGCAGACGAGAGGTTAGGGAGAGAGAGGAGGCTAGTGATAATGAGGTTCCATGAGCGGTTAACACAAGCGGCGTTTGCACAGGCTAAGGCAGGAAGACGAGAGAGGATGTTATGGAGAAGATCGTCATTGATTGCATCAATCGTTGTTTCCATCTCCACCGCCGTACTCCGACTCAGTTCCTCCATTTCACGGTGGTCGGGAATTGAATTTCGAACTCCACCGTCGCGTCTATGAGTCGGTAATCAGCGGCAAAGCCCCAACCGTTGGTAAAAAAGTAGTACTAAAAGGTCATAAAAGAATTGTCTGGAATTATATTTGTGAAAGTAGAGACAAAAAAGAATACGCTTTTTTTCGAGTTTCATACGTTACTTATTCTATTTATATCTAAGTGAATATCATAACTTGATGTATTTCAGATTTAAACTATCACTTTATTGCGTTAAACACATCATCGTATTGAGAGTATTAAGTTAGCCAACTCAATGTTGATTGGAAAAAATATCTAGAATTATAAATAACATGAAGTATGAAACACGAAAAAAAGTGACGATTATGTTGTATTTTCAATGTGATAGTGAATTTGATACCAGAAAAGCATAGAACCACAAAGGATCTACCGTACAAGAGGACCTATTTCTACTAATCAAATCTATAACTTCCGTGATCGCATGACAATAACTTCAACAATTATGACAAGGTTCTCAACGTGACAACAACTTTACCAACTATGACATGACTTTTATCTCAAAGTACTAGTAGATATCCAGAATAAGAATAAGAATCAAACTAACATATAAATTGCAAAAGAATCACAACTTCACAAATCATTAGGAGAAAAAAAAATGAAGTGAATGAAGTATATAGCAAAATGTATTTTTCCTACTTGATTTACAACAAATGCAAAATGATCTATACAAAAAAAAAGTTGCTTTTTTTTTCTTGCGAGTATTGATGTACAACTCTTAAGAACTATAAACTAATGAGATAATTCCCGTCCACTCCAGTAACCGAAAAGATGGAAAAGGATTACTGATTTTGATGATGAAGATGACCATTCTTCTTTGCCATAGAATAGTAATACGCACGAAGCAGTCTCTTATGGAACCTTCGAAGGTTCAACTTCACATTTTGACGATCAAGGTAGATCTTTTTCGTGAACTCCCATCCTCTGTTGTTCACACTATCGGGGTCTGTAAGAACAGGATCAGTTTTCTCGTACTCGTTGTACAAAGAGCTTTCTTGTGGAAGGATTTTGTAGCCAATGTACCTGAGACCTAACTTCCTTGCTGGTAGTCCATAGTATGTATCTGCTGCCCAATCTGTTCCTAGCGGAATGATTTGGATGAAAGCAGAATCAGGCCTCATGAAAAGGAAATGAGTCATAGCAGCACCGTGAACTCCAATCATAACATCACTGGAATTAAGAGCTCGATAGATTCTTGCTAGCTCAGTCGTTCGTTGAGGCCTCAAAACTTCCACTTGGAACCCAATACCTTGTGCCATTTTAACTAATGAAGCTTCATTGAGTATAGCTCTTGAATCGTTTCTAGCTATGATGACTACTTTAGGTTTCTTCACGTCCAGCTTTTCTTCAGTCGTTTCTATCTTTGTCTTAGCTGACGGTGAAAAAGCAGATATATTCTTATCCAATTGTGTTTCATGTTCCTCTTCTTGGATCAAACCTCTAATTCGAGGCAAATAAGCTCGGTCAAGCATGTCTCGGAAATCCCTAATGGTCTTGTTTGTTCCCATCAATGAAGCATCAATAGTTAGCTCATCGTGGATCTTTAAACCAACTACAGCCTCAGGGAAGCAATGAGTCCTGTTATCGCCTCTAAAGTCGATAATAGGATATTCAGTGAGGTGAGGAAGTATGTTCTCGTACTTTGAGATCCACCAATCATGATACTCGAGTATTACAAACACAACTTTCTTGTTGAAATGCTGAGAAGTTATGTAAAGAGGCATAATCCCATCGTTGAATTCGTGGTAAAGATTACCAGTGTAACCTCCAGTAGAGAAGAACACAGCAGGCACATCATGTTGAACATCACACTTCTGATGAATAGCAGAATTCTCTCCCTTTGTAACAAGGTTCAACTCATCAATGGTGTCCATCACACTTTTTTCCCATTTCCGAGTATACGGCTTAATCTTTTCGTGTTGGAATATCTCATCATTTTCACCAGAGGCCCCAATAACTTGACTGCCATAACCGTTGCTTCTGTAGAGGGTAATTGTGGAGGAAACAGAATCTGTTCTTACATCCCCTTTCATCACACAGATATCGGAACGAATGCTACTTCTATCACAGCAAATTGACCCTACATTATGATGAAAAAAAATCTCTCAACAATTGAAAAAGAGAAGTTGGTAAAACTAAAAAGCAAGCATTAAGATTGATATTGTGCTCTAACTATGCCTTTCAAAACAATATCAGATTACAACACACACAACAACAACAACAACAAAATAACATCAATAACTATGCGTCATTCCCAAACAAGTCGGGGTTGGTACGTATGAATCCCCAGTTCTTCATATAAGCTCATTTTCTATAATCATCAAACTAAATAATCCTACATCCCACTCTATTTCAATTTGTTTATCTTACTTTTCCTTTTAGTCTATTTAAAAAAAAAATTTTTTTTGGCAACTCATTAACACAAACATTCCACGTAACAAGCTTAAGATCACATTTGGTGCATTCTACTTATTTATGACCACGTGATTCAAAAGTTTCTTACTTTTTAAAGTTCATATCAAGTCAAAACCAAACAAACAAATTTGAAACGGTGGAGTAATAGATGTTATAAATCTTAAAAGAAAGAAACTTGCTTTCCTCTTCAAAAGCAATCAAAGGGCTAAAGCCTATAAACCACCTATGGTGATAAGATGAAAATTTTCGAACATACTTTATCAAAAAAATTGGGAATCTTCAGAAGAAAAAAAAACACCCTTTCTGCTGTAGCAAATATTATACAAAAAAAAAAACAGATGAACATAAAAGCAACTAAATACTAACCATTAGAGACAGAGGAACAAACAGAAGCATATACATCTGATGTAGAAACAACCCCTTCATCTTCAAAACCAAATGAATCTGCAAAATACACCACAAAACATTAAAAAAAGAGAAACAAAGCAGAAAAAGAGTTGAAAAAAGAGAGAAGAAAGAAAGAAACTTACATAAAAGAGAAAGAGTAGGAGCAGATGGGAAGAAAAGAGGAGCTAAAATAAAGCTAAAAGACATAAAAGATAGAAAAACAAGAAACAAAAGCTTAGGTCTTGCTACTCTTTTGCTGTTTTCACAAACAAAAGGAACATCCCCTTTTCTCCATTGATGATATCTCTGGTAATACACCATTTTCTTCAACATAAAACAGCTTTAAAATATGAACTTTTTTTTTTGTAATAAAAGAAAATCTTTTGATATTTATAATCTTTGAAAAGTTTACTTGAGGAAAGGTTTTTGCTGGGGTTCAAGGTTTGCTGTGTGCTATTTGGAATCTTCAAATGAGAGCTGTCAATTTAAGGAGAAATGGAGAAAAATAATAACTAACACAAGATTAAAATAAGTCTATCTTAAATTTATCATATATATTTTAAATTATAAATTATAAAAATATAAATTTTATTTTTGAAAAAATTTATTTAACTCTCGAAAAATATAATATGATATGATTTAATTTTTTTTTAACAGTCAAAGGCGTGTACAATTGGTAAAGGAATTTTTTTTTCTTGGCTGGCTGGCTGGCTTAGACGGGTTCTTAACATGCTACAACTTGGAAAATAGGCGTGTGTTATGAGTCAATGACTATGAGGCTGCGGTTTTGTGTAACTCCTAATTTAATTTGGAATCGAATTTAATAAAAAAAGAAATTTTTTTAATTTTATAGTTTTAAATTAAAGTTATGTCAAATATATTAAAAGATCCTTTAATTTTTGGTCTTAAACTATTATTAAAAAGAGAAAGGGCTCATTCTTTTTTAAATAAACTAAAAAAACATACGGATATTCATTTTTAAACGGGGAGATTATATTTTTTCTGTCTCAACTAATAGTGATCTTTTTAAATGTGAATAGGATAAATATATTAAAAAAGATCGAAATAATTTAATTCCTATTATATATAAATATAAAATAATTTTAATTATATTATAAATAATATATTTTTTTATCTAAACGTATTAGTTCTATTGATTGATAAGAAGTTTAAAAAGTAACGAACTATATTATGAATATCAAATTGTTCTTATTAAAGTTACGATAGTGCTTATTATTACGTGAATTTTTTTTCATAGAAAAATGTTAAGTGAAATCTTGTGTTTGCTACATAGAATAGTTGTAAAATAAGGAAATATTACATCCTTTTTAGATAAATATTTTTTTTAAAAAAACGTCACTCAAATTGAAAAAGAAAAAAGATAGTTTGTTGGTTATATGAAAACGCAATGGTTTAATCCACGATATATTTCAAATTTGTCAATAAATTTATATTTAGATATTCTATTTGAGCTATAATTTATTTCGATTGAGCATCTCAACATCCGATGCAATATTCTCTTTGATATTTTCAACTTCAAATTTTAAAGATAATTTTGCATGTATATCTTCAAACGCCTATTAAATTTAAATTAACCGCATACGAATATATCAAACTAATTTAATTATATACAATTCTACAACAAGGGTAATGTGTACAAATTACATCAATAGTCTAATTAAGTGCATGTTGAACATGCCAAAAAAAACTTAAAACCTTAATTTGAAAATTATATAATAAAAATATTTATCATATTTTTAACAATTTAATTAATACAAATCATGTTCGAATGTCTAAACAAAACGTATTACCAAATTTAAAGAATTACTCATTTAGGCAACATCTTTTTTTTTTTTGGACTAATCATGACAAACATAATACACTTTAAATTATCAAAAAAATAGCAATTTGAAAGAACAAAAACACTTACCTAATTCTCTTTAGTTTACTCTTTTTCTTGTTTTTTTTTACATCCCATGAAGTTGCATGTTTTGTGTATTATTGTTGACACATATTTTTTTTAATTAAAATCAAGTTTTATTACTATGTTATTCAAAGCAAATTTATGTACCTAATTATTACTAATAATTTATAAATAAAAGGGGAGAACAAGAATAATAATCGAGTAATGTTGACTTCTTCAAAAAAATAGAATTATAATATGCAGAAAAACAGAAGAAGAAAAAATAATTGAAGACATCGAAATAATTAATTAGCTGATTATTATTGACTAATTATTAGTTCCAACTTTCATTGCAAGGAAATATTTGTATGTGGCGTTTGGTGATTTTTTGTGAAGTATTTTTCAAGCATATTATTGGATTTTATTTGCCCTGATTTTTTATCATAAATAGATTTTTCTTTTAGAAAATTATTTTGGATTAACTAATCATTGCAAGGAAAATGTTTGGAACGTTTTAAATAGAGACATGTTCCTTATAACTTAATTAACATTCACAATGTAGTCTTAAGGGCTTTGAGAATTTTGGTTAGAAAAGAATTTATGGTCACAAGCTTGATACTTTATCACTTGTGTGAATCTCCCATGTATTCTGAGTGAATTGATAAAGGTTATTTATCTCTGTATTTTGTACTCTCATATTTATAGTGGATTGCTCATCTCCTTTGTGGACATAGGTCGATTGACGGAATCACGTTAATTTTTTGTGACTTTTGGTATATTTCTCGTTGTCTTCTTACTCGTAGTCTTTATTAATGAGTTTAAGTCTTCCGCATTACTTTCTGTTGATATTATATTGAAATGTTAAGGTTTAGATTGGTTGGTTCGCTCACATACGAGCGTAAGTGTGGGTGCCAGTCGCGGCCCGGATTTGGATCGTGACACTTTTGATATATTTCTCGTTGTCTTCTTACTCGTAGTCTTTCGAGATTTGCTTTATTAACTTCTGCATTTATACCTACTTATTTTTGATCCTAACACATATTTCCAAACCAATCTTTAAAAAAAAAGTTCTAATTTTTCGTTCATCAGAAAATAAGTAGTATGACGTTTATTACACAATAAAAAATTCTGAATTTTAACGAGTATAGCTTTTTTCAATTTATTCATCGATAATAGTGAATTTATTTAATCATTAATAAGATGGACGAATAAAATGATGAATAACTGATTAAAATAGTATGCTTTTGATATTTTAATCATCTGGTTTAGGTGTAGTCATGTGCTTAACAAGATTTTGATACTTTAATGAATTAAAAAGAAGTTTTAAAATTAAATTTTTAAAAAATCACAAAAAAATTAAAATTGAAAAAGCCAAGGTTGGCCTCTTCTTGTACAGAGCAATATAATACTAACCATTTTAATTTTTATGCGTGTAAATTGCATACTTCCAACACAACTTAATTTGATTTTCTATTTTTAAAAGATCTCAAAAAAATAAAACTTTATTTATATAAAATAATTGAAGCATTTACTTTAAAGCCTTTGGTAGTGAATATTCACAAATTTATCATAATTATTATGATTAATAAATTTCATCATTTAATTAAGGACTCATATGTTAATACTTCTGCTTCATATTTGAAAAAAAAATATAGTTTGAAAAATAATTAAAATATATTCTGTCTTACATAAAGAGATTAAAAAGCATTTCCAGAATTTCAGTAATTCAGTTAATTACTTTATATGAATATTTACTTTGTTAACGAATGTATATTTTTACATTGTATAATTAATTTAACATACCATTCTACGTAATGATAAAAGTTCATATTTTTTTTATTTAATCAAAAAATATATATACTTTACTAGTCTGCTCCTACAATTAAAATAACTAAATTTAAACACTTAATAATACAAAAGTAATTGGGACAGACAAAAGTTATGGGCTATGGTACTGCTGCACATTCCATATGGGGCACATTACAAAAAAAATAAAAAATATTTTATTAAATTTGAATTTATATCATATAAAATTTATTTTAAAAAAAAACAGTTTTATTTTTATATTTAAAATTAAAATTCAAAATATCTGATATTCGATTACGAAGGAATAAATTGCTAATAATTTTATAAGCCAACGAAATTTTTCAGTCTTTGATTACTTCCTTTTCAAATCATATTAATCTTATCTAAAATTATGAATAATTTTAATAATATTTCAAGATTCTGCTGTATTATATTGTTTCTTTTTACTGAAAAAAAAAGTCAATAATTAGTTATTTTGCTCTTTCAGCTAAAGTAGTTTGCTTTTCCAGCCACCCCATAATATTTATTTATTTTATTTATGTTAACCTAGGTACTAGAGTAGTATATAAAAAGCATAATATATAATTGTCTTTTAACTTGGTTTTGAATTATATTTATGTTCTTTAATTTTTTGTGTGCACAAATAGACATTTAAACTTGTATAAAGTTGAACAAATAAATACATATGTCCTATATGTCATTTTTTATCCTACGTAGTGTCCTACGTGTATTGTGCCATGTAGGATTTATGTATTTATTTATTTAAAAGTTAGACAGTTAAAAATCTGTTTGTACATTATGAAAGTTGGGGGTTAAAGTTAAAATTTGAAGTCAAGTTTAAGGCTCAATATATGTAATATGCCTATATAAAACGGTTCTAATTTAGACTCTAGTTTTGTATAATAATGGGGTGCGTTAAATAAAAGTTTTTATTTTTGTTACACTTGGTTGATTAAAATATTATAAAAAGATACTTTTTTTAAGAAAATAATTTTCTAATAAAATTAGAAAAAATAAATTTTCAAAACTAATATTTCAAAGTTTATTTGTTATCCCCACCCCACCCCATCAATAAATCCCCTACACTTGTAATTTTTGTCAATCTTTACGCTGTATGTTTACATTTTAAAATATTATTATATTTGTTGTGTATCAAATAGAAAAATAATAATGAAACCCTATTTATAAAGTTGGATTATATATATATATATATATATATATATATATATATATATATATATATATTAATT